AAAGAAATGCCACAAGATGGTGTTTGTCCTAAAGATTTCATGGAGAGGATGACTCCGCGCCCCACCCCTGACTAAATGCTTCAGTAGCGAGACCTTACTTTTCACGTATTTATTCAATCTAGCCAGTGGCCCATTCTTTAAAATGTATTACAGTTTTGCTTCCACAGACAACCATTTAACTGGGTTTACTTCTGAGGAGACATGCACAGAATGGTGCAGTAAGGCTGCAATATTTAAAAACTCCTCCTTGGGTGTAAGCCACATAGAACAGACTGGGACTTAATTCTGAGTGAACATGCATGGGACAAGGGTGTTGGCGAATGATCCCAGCAGAGGGGGAACAAAGGGGGGGGGAGGGATAGTCAAGGAAGAGGGTGGGAAAGGAAGAGAAAAGCAGGGAAATCAGGCTGGGAGCTCTTTGCAGCTGTACGACAGGATCACCCTGTTTTCCTGAAAACCTGGCCCACTGAGATATTTCTGCTGTATAGTCTAGGGGAGGGGAGGAAGTCCGTGCACAATTATTGCAGGTGCATCAAAACTGGGTAGAGATCAACGGGGAGGGAGGGGGAGAGAGTGGAGTGGAGTGGAGTGGGAGAGAACTCGTGCGGTCCTTTGTCTTGGTAGGCAGAGCCCTGCTCTGAGTGTCCCCCCTGCACCCCCCTCCCTGTACAGGGATTGAGAAGGCATAAGGGGGGGGGGGGGGGGGGGGTGGCAGCAGCCGGAAGAGCAGGCAGAGGAGGGGAGGAGGGAGCCGGTGTGGGGACAGGGTGCCCCCGCAGCCGGGCTGCCCAGAGGAGGGAGTGGCCCCTGGTTCTCCTGGGAGCAGAAGAGCCTTCAGAGCGGCAGGCACAGCTCTCCCCACAGAGTTCCTTCCGATGGCTGCCTTGCGGGCTGCTCCAGTGCCCTTGGGAGGCTGCGTGATGCCCCGGGCTTAGTTCTCTACACCATCTGCGCGCAAGCACCCCAAGACATGCAGAGATGGGCTATGTTTTGTCTGAGCCCAGAACCAAGTTCCCTACCCTCTGGTGTGCCCTAGGGTTGCCAGCCTCCAGGTACAGCCTGGAGATCTCTGGGAATGACAACCAAACTTCAGACTCCTCTGTTTTATCCTGACAACAACAAGAAGAAGAAGAAAAGAGAGAAGCGATTGGATTTAGACCCCATGGCCCTTCACTACCCAAGGAAGTCTCAGAGTGGCTTACAAACTCCTTTCCCTTCCCCTCCCCACAACAGACACCCCGTGAGGCAGGCGGGGCTGAGAGAGCTCTGGACAGGAACTGCTCTTTTTCAAGGACAGCTCTTATCAGAACTATGGCTTGCCCAAGGCCATCCAGCCAGGTGCAAGTGGAGGAGTGGGGAATCAAACCCCGGTTCTCCCAGATCAGAGTCCGCGCACTTAACCACGACACCAAACTGGCTCTCTCAACTGTGCGAGGTACAAAGTGAGAGAAAAGACAAGCCCACTCGTGGGAGCATCTCTTCTCCTCCAGCTCCCAGCAGCCAGTGCTCTTGTTCTCTTCTCTTCTCCTCGTCCTCCACCTCCCCTCAGTATCCTATTACACCGGGGCTGAAAGACCCTCTTGTCTTGGGGCTTGGGGGGGGTCAACAGTGGGAGGGCTTCTGTAGCTCTGGCCCCGCTGCTGGACCTCCTGATGGCACCTGAGTTTGGGCCACTGGGTGACACAGAGTGCTGGACTGGATGGGCCACTGGCCTCATCCAACGTGGCTTCTCTGATGTTCTTAATCCTCCCTGGCCATTTCCAGTCCTCATTCAAGGTTTTTGTTTTGACGTATAAAGCCTGATGCAGTTTTGGACCCGGTTACCCAACGGCCCCCTGTTCCCATCTAATCTTGTTCTAATAGTCATCTCAGGCCCTTCTTTGTGCCTCTCTGCCTTCAGAGGCGACCCAGGTGGCCACAAGGGCCAGGGGCCTTTTCAGGGATCCCTCCCTCTCCCCACACCTCCTGGAACCATCGCTGAATGGTTCTCGGTGCCAGTCCGATATCTCAACAGGTTTTACTGGAGTGGTCTGTGGTTTTGGTTTGCACTCCATGTCTTGGTTGTAACTGGCTGCTGCGGTTTTAGCTGCTGCCGCTGCTGCTGCCAGGTGTTCTTTAGCTGTCTCAGTTGATTCGGTTGCTTTCAAGTTTTGTTTTGGACATCATTGCTCATGGGTGGGTTTCATTATTGAAATATAAACTATAAATCATTCGAGATATAGGTATTTGTGGAGATGTGCAAAGAACAAGGACTATCATAAGCAAGCAAAAAGGCAGCACAAAAGTATTAACTGAAACAAGGCTGTAAACGGCACATGGACAAAAAGAAGCAAAGAAGTTAAGATTACCAAATAATCCATTAAAATTTCTTGAGGAAAAATAATCACTGTGAGTGCAGTGCTAAGTAGCTGAAGTTAGCTAACTATCTAATTTGCACAGGTTGATGGAAGCCCTTAGCTAGAAGTTTCATTTTTTAAAAAAAGGGTATGGAAGTTAAAGAAAGTTAAAGACTCTTCAAGAAATCCTATTTCCAGAATTAAATTATTTTTTCCTTGGAGATAGATCAGGATGAGTGGCCATGTTAGCCTGTCTGTACCAGCAGAAAAAAGCAAGCGTCCAGGAGCACCTAAAAGACTAACAAAATTTGCGGCCAGGGATTAACTTTTATGAGTCACTGCTCACTTCGTTAGTGATTTACGGAGGTTCCTACCCTGCCACACATTTTGTTAGTCATTAAGGTGTTACTAGACTCTTGCTCTTTTCTATTTTTTCCTTAACGCGCATTCACAGGGAGGTAAATGGGCAAGCACAAATTATAGCAAATCACCCTCGATAAACTTTATGAATGAGCAAAACAGCACTGTCTTCCCAGTCCCCTGTTTAAAAGCAAAAGTCAAACACAATTGTATCAACTTTATTCCAGGATTACCTCCTCCAAGTCAATTTACATGAATTATGAAAGTGGTCACAATAGTGAAGAAGCCGAGGTGCACGGAAGAATCCAAAGCACGGCAGCACAAACGTGAACAGCCTGTCTATGAAGCCTCTCCGTGACAGTCACCAGGGGAAATAAAAACTTACTGCACTATTTCAGGATCAAATACAATTTCTTCGGCTGCAATAATAGTTCTCTAAGCCATCTGGTCTAGCAAGGTAGTAAATACATAATTCAAAATTTTCTCCCTCCCCCCCCAAAGCGAGAGAAACAATTTTTTTCTACATCCCCCTCCGACTGCAGGCCACTGGTCTCCACAAAATACTTCTGGGGGTATTATGGACTGAGATCAAGGCAGCTCTTAAACAAGTGATTTCTTTATTCAACTCATAACTTAACACAGGACAACATTCAACAGAACCTTCTAATTTGTATACTATTTGAACTGACAAAGCCACACCTCTAGAACACAGAATAACAAATGCATCACTTAGGAGCAATGGATTTGGCTCCCACCGAAAGTCTTCACATAATAACTGAATGTATAACGAGGGGGGGGGAACGGGGAGCCCTGGAATAACATGGGGGAGGGCATGCAGTGAGAATTGACAGGAATTGGTCATTTAGTCTGGAACATATGAACACCTGCAGCTGCCTGATACTGAATCAGACCATGAGGGTCCATCAAGTTCAGCAATGTCTACTCAGACTTGGCAGCGACTCTCCAGGGTCTTAGGCACAGGGTTGCCAGGTCTGGGTTGGAGAATATCTGGAGACTTTGGGGGAGGATCCGCGAGAGGGTGGGGTTTGGTGAGGGGAGGGGCCTCAGCATGGTACCATGCCCTAGAGTCCGCCCTTCAAAGCAGCCATTTTCCTCAGGGGAGCTGATCTCTGTCGGCTGGGGATCAGTTGTCAAAGCGGGAGATCCCCAGGCCCAACCTGGAGGATGGCAACCCTAAGGCAGAGATCTTTCACATCATCTACTGCCTGGTAGACTGGAGATGCCGGGGACTGATCCTAGGACCTTCTGCATGCCAAACAGAGGCTCTACCACTGAGCCACAGCCCCTCCCAATCCAACCCCTTGTCTGAAAACCAGGGGTAACTTCAGCTATTTTCCGGTAAGCAGTGGATAGCTTTAACTGCTGAAATCGTTTGTTTACCACTAAAAGAAACAGCCATGTCGAAGAAATCTATTAAGTATCTGTGTGGTTCATTGGTTAACGACTGCTGGAACACCCACACCTGAACAATTAGCTTAAGAAGCAACGAGAGTGTGCTCCTCTCCAATTAGCGGCTGCCTCCACATCCCTTGGAAAATGGGTCTTCCCTGAATAGGGATGCAGCTGCTCTTCCAAACAAACATCTCTGGACTTAAAATTCCATCCAGACATTGGGGGATAACGGAGTTCTTTTAATGTGCCTTCAATATGTGAAAGCATGTGCAGCTGCACAAGAAAAAAAATTATTATAGGAGAATTAATCAGCCCACAAAATGGAATGTCACATACAAGTTAAACCTATCTTTTCAGGTAACCGTATTCATTCTGCAATTTTCAATTCCTTTCTGTGCTGCAGACTTATGACTGCACGATACCTGCTTGAGCTTCCTTTATTGTACCGTGGAATGCATCTCATCACTGACTGGAATAAATCTCAGGTGAAGACTTGTCTTCTAGTGTTGAAAGACTGGAGGCTCAGTCTTGGTGAACCACTCCTAGTCGATTGATGCCCCGGAAGCTGAGGAAGGATCCCAATGGCCGCTCCGAAATCCAGGCCTGCTCATCTCTGAATGAGCTAAGACTATCTCAGACATCTAGAAAACCTTCTGGGAATGTGACATCCACTACCTATTTCAACCAATTTTTGCTAATGGGTGAATTCGTGAAAATACCACCAGCAAGTATCTTTGTAAGGTCACATTTCCAGCATATTCACTGGGTTCTTCCGCCTAAGAAACATGCACAATAATGTACCTCAAAAATAAAAACAAGATACCACAAATTCCATTGATTTTGTGTGTGTGGGGGAGCTTCAGGGTGTGAGGGCGGGGCTTACGTTTTTACCTGATTCGTCCACCCTCGGCCTCTTGTTCCTGGGATTCCCAGGGCTGCTGCTGCTGTCGTCGTCGGACATTTCCATCTCTTCCTCCCGTCGGATCCCCATGAGCTGCTCGCTGTGAGCGTTCCTGAGCTCCTGGAAAGGACAAGATCCAACCCCTCACTTTGTTAGTCTTGATTGACAAACCCCGAGACCTCACAAAGACAAACTGCCTTGTTACAAGCAAAACCAGAAGGATTATGTGGTGCTCTCTGATATAACAAAGTCTATGGCTGCCAACCTCCAGGGCCTGGAGATCTCCCAGTATTACAACTGATCTCCAGAGGACAAAGGTCACTTCCCCAGGAGAATATGGAAACTTTGGCAGGTGGCCTCCCTCCTGACCTCAGCACGCATCCCAGACTCCACCCCCTCAAAATCTCCAGGCATTTTCCAGCCTAGAGCTGGCAACCCTAGCAGTGTCTATAAACAACAGAGCCAGCTGGGAGATGTAGTATTGCAGGGCAGGAAACAGGAAGTAGAAGGGTGGACTTATGGCCGGGGCCACCATGCGGGATGCTGCAGCAGTGGCTCTACCTGTTTAATTTACAATAAACTTTGTTTGGACTCTAAATCGCACTTGGCTGCTTGATACAACAAAGACATTTCTTCTGCCTCTGAACTCACCTACACCCTTTCCTCAAAGGCCCTGTGACCTTGCAATCAGCTTCTCTGCTTGAATTCAAATGGCGGATAATGACTTGCTAGCGATTAGTGACCCTCCATGACACCGTGTCCCTGATGAGCTCCCCCCCCCCAGGCTCCAACCCCAAATCTCCTGGAACAGACTGGAAGGGATCGAGGATGGAAGCCTCATCCAGGTAGCCCTGCAGCTGTGCTGCCACCGCCCTCTCAATAAGTTTGCCTAAATAAGGCAAATTGGAAACCGGCCGGAAGTTGTCCAATTCGGCCAGGTCCAAAGATGTTTTTTTCAAGAGAGGGTGGACCATCGCTTCCTTAAGTGCTCCGGGGAACCGTCCCTTGGTGAGGGACTTGTTGACAATCTCCCACAGTGCACCTCGAAACCCCTCATGGCCTGCTTTAACCAGCCAGGAGGGGCACGGATCAAGGTCGCATGTGGTTGGGCGCACAGATACGAATAGCCTGTCAGCTTCCTCCAGGCTGAGTGGGTCAAAACACTCTAAACCCGGCCCCAAAGATGTACAAGGGGCCTCAAGTTCCCTAACTGTTTCAATTGTGGCGGGGAGGTTGCGGCGGAGTGCCAAGACTTTATCTGCAAAATAGCTCGCAAATGCCTCACGGCCGATATCCAATTCCCTAACATTTTGTCTGCCCCGAGGCAGAGTTGTCAATGACCAAATCACACTAAATAATTGGGCCGGGCGTGAGCTAGCAGACGCAATCGAGGCCGCATAGAAATCCCTCTTTGCAGCCTTGACTGCCATCACATAGGATCTCATAAACGTCCTGTAGGATGTTCGTGACACTTCGTCACGAGCGCGACGCCACCGTCTCTCTAGCCGTCTCAGTTCTTGCTTCAGTGCACACAACTCCTGGGTATACCAGGGTGCCCGCCTATCGCGAGTGCAGGAGGACGCTCTGTTGTTTGAGGAAAAACTCTATGGTTTCTTCCTTGAACCCACAACGTGCCTGTGCGATGACGTCACTTCCAGGTGACGCCATCACACCACGTGCACAAAGAGAAGGACCAGGACCACTTTGCCGGCAGCCAGGTAAGACCTGGCAACCGTACCTGGGAGTTTGGTAATATGACAGATGAGACAATCAGAGATCACCTTGTTGAGATGACAAATCTGCCTCACATCAGAGAACAGTTGCTTCTAGAATCAGGCCTCTCACTGGGGAAAGCAGTAACTATTTCTAGCCAAACTGAGACAGCTCTGGCAGAGGCCAAAATAATGAGCCTGAATACAGGTGGCACCATGCAAAGTGCAGCTACTCTGCAGAAATCCTCAATGCAGACCCCTGGTCACAGCAAGAATGTGAGCAAGCAACCTCAGGTCTGGCCAACACAATGCCCAGCACAAGTATGTGTTTGTTGTGGCTCTACGCAACATCTCACAAGCAATGCAAAATGTCCTGCAAAAGCTGGTCAGTGGAGTTACGTTTTTTTAACAACCTGGGCACTTTGAAAAGGTATGCTTCTGAAACCACTCCAAAAAACAAGGACACACAATCCAAGGCTGAGTTCAGACTGGCAGTATGAAGCGCAAGGGAGTCGTGGCAAAAAGACCTGGAACAACTTGTTCTGGGTATTTCCGGTCACACTGCACCGACTAATGGAGGAGCATACCGGGGAAGAGGTGCAAGGGAGCGTTTGCACTGTTGGCCTGCCCCTGGCAGAGGCGCAGTTGTAAGTGGCTTTTTTTCACTCCTGCAACATGCGCCTATGCGCATAGGCACAGCAATGCGGCTTGTTTGTGGCTTTCAGCGTGCACACGTCCGGGAAGTGGGATCAATGCACTCTCCAGGGTTTGCTACCACTTTCACCTGGTACTTTCTAAACTCGGGAGGGAAGCGTTACAAGACGGGTTGAGTACGGCTGGGGAACGCCTGAGTACGGCTGGAGAACGTGCCTGTGGGAACCTTTAATCCATTTGTGAAACGTTTCTGGCTTGGGCCTGTATCGGGGCAAACTGCCAGTCTGAACTCGGCCCAAGTTACTGTTTGAGTGTGTACAGAATCACTCCCATGTCTGTTGCAGAAAAAATTATGCACACTGCTAAGGTATCTGCTGCAGCCTCAAAAAAGAGTATTGAAGAAATGTTGGATACTGGTTCATTAATGTCCACATTTCCTGATTCAATTTTTCATTTTAAAATATGTTACTTAAAAAAAATTAATCACCTGATTTATGGCCTATGTCACCAGGAGACTTAAAAGTTTGGACCTAAAAATCTTGCTCAGGTAAATCTCCGGGAATACAGAAGTGCCTAATCCACATACTTTCATTTTCATTAAAACTACATGCTATCTTCAGTTCTTTTACTATTGACTGGAACTGTAATTCAGAGGATAACGAAAGTGTAAAGAAAATGGGACAGGTCAGTACTTCACATAATCATTGGAAAACTCTCCTAGATCCTTATTTTTTAAAAACTGAAATTACCCACGTGCTTTAAGGGCAGCTCAGCACTTATGAGGGCAACGATGCTATGGCTGACTTAAGTAGATCTCTGGCAGCCAGTTTGGTGTAGTGGTTAAGTGTGCAGACTCTAATCTGGGAGAACCGGGTTTGATTCCCCACTCCTCCACTTGCAGATGCCAGATGACCTTGGGCAGGCCATAGTTCTGACACAGCTGTTCTTGAAAAAGGCAGTTTCTGTCAGAGCTCTCTCAGCCCCACCTACCTCACAGGGGAGGTTGTGGGGAGGGGAAGGGAAAGGAGTTTGTAAGCCACTCTGAGACTCCGAGTGAAGGGCGGGATATAAACCCAATCTCCTCCTCCTCTTCTTCTTCTGGGTTTAAATCAAGGGTCCCCAACTGTCAAACTCGGACTCTCGTTTGCCATGTTTTCTGAGGATTGGAGGCCTGCACAGGGAGGGAAATTCTAGGGGGTGTGTGCATGTGTGAGAGTGTGAGAATGGCTCTTTTGTAGTGGCGATGTAACTCTTCTGAAGCACCATCCCTTTGCAGGGATGACCTTGGATAGTGTCAGTGCTTGCTTCGCTGTCAGAGATAAACATAATGGTAGATTTACAGGTGGGGGTGTAGAGCATGCAAAAGCTAGGCGGGATGGCTGTGGAGTGTGTTTGGATAGAACCAAAGGCGGGGCCTTATTTGAACTGTCTATAACTATGGGTTTTGGCACCAGAATTTTAGTTCTGACACAGTACTGGTCTTAGCTTGGAACATCTTTATTTCTCAATAAACAAATCACTTGCAGAGAGTGTTGTTGAGAGTAAGTTTTTCCAAGAGTCTGACACCAATGTGGTGCCTGCTGAGTGTTTTTAGAAAGCGGGCAGAGCCAAGTGGGGCTTTTGCCCAACGAGGCTTTGGATTGGCTATGCCAGTTTTTAAATTGTTGCTTCAGTGGCAGCTGTCATCACAGCACGAGAATCTCCACTGTGTGAGTGAAAGTAAGGTGTGGCAGCCATTTTCTGGCTGGCTGTGTGTGGTGAGAATTTTAAAACTAGAGTCTCTTGCCCTTATTCAGGGTTCGAAACTTTTGGTGTCGGCCCTCCTTACCAAGGGTGAAATGGTGCGAAAAAAGGAAAACAGAACTACCAACAGATAGTTCCAAGACACATACACACTCTGTCAACAACAAGGTTTCTTTATTATAATGAGAAGGAAAGAAAAAAACTAGGGGCTAGAGTCCAGCCTGCCAGGCGCAGGGCTGTGACTCCTGCTTTACCAATACACAATACTAAGCAATAGGCATATGCATATCAAAGTTAAGTAAATTAGATAAGACACACAGAGCTCAAGGGCGCTTGGATCCAACCAGAACCAGAACCAGAACCAGAACCAGAGAGAGAGAGAGAGAGAGAGAGAGAGAGAGAGAGAGAGAGAGAGAGAGAGAGACTCTCAAAGTTTCTAAGATTGGATGAAGGTGGATTTGTACACCTTCCTTTATACAAAAACTCATGAGAACTGGTATATTATTGAATTACATTAATTGATACTTCAATCGCATTTCTGCTGTGCAAGACATGTTTTCTTACAAGTTCTGACATAGGAAAAACAATTGCTGTTATATTCCGTTGTTGCAAATATGTTCTCAAACAGACAGAAATTATTGCATTGTCAGAATACATCATTGTGTTCTCATCATTTAAGATAAGGAGCCTTGAGGTTTGGTGTTCTGTTGTTGGGGGCCGGGAGTGTGAAAAGCGAATTCTTTTCACACTTGATGATGCTAAGGAAAGAATCTATATATCTAATACCGAACATGCCCCCTGCGTGCGGATACTTATTTCCGCACATTGGGGGCAACTGGGGGGGAGGGAGATGTTTGTGCACACTTGGGGCAGTCCCCAGGTGTGCACAAAAATCTAAAAACCCGGAAAAAATATCGGGGGGTTACTTAAATCCCCCCAAAAGTGACAGAGCGTCCCCTGCACATGCGCAGGGAATGCTCTGCGAACTCCCTCACCACCGCCGCCGCTTCG